TTTCAGACTAGCTAGCTAAATGCCAGAAAGGTGTATTTTGGAGACTGATTTAGTTTGATAGGTAGGTTTTCAATTTAGCTTCTGTTTCTTAACTAGATTACTAATTTCAGGACAGAGCATATAAATGAATAGGACATTGAAAGCATGGATTCTGCATGGATAGCTCTGAAAAGGAAGCAAAGCTGCTTGACCTGAGGGCCAAAAACACTTTATCTAGCTTTCTTTTTGCTTTTGGGATAGAGTAGTAACTAAATGAAAAAATTGGTAGATTCAGTTTTCTTATCAACTAGTTGTTTAAGCTTTTCATTTGCCTTTTGGGAAGTCTTTTAAAAGAAGCAATAATACTGTTTGACCTCTTTTTAAATGCTTCTGCACATCAGTAGGTGTCCCTGAGGGCCTAATTTGGGAGCCCTTGTTTTTAAATGCACTTAAAGTTCACTGTTGTTTATCTGAAATGTTCCACACAATGGCCATCTAATTCTAAATTATCTTTAGCAAGATTTTGCCATTTTTGTAAGTATTTCAGCTTCTGGGGCTTAATTCTTATACATGTAAAAGGCAGGAGTAGCCAGAAGGCAGAATACTTAGTTCTTTAGAAATTAAGGATCCCATTTTTACATTGAATCTTGGGTCTCTCAGAGCCCAGATAAAAGCCTAAGAAGGAAATGCCACAGGGTTGGGTCATGTAATGCTTTCACAGTGTTCCTTTGTTGCATGGAAGTTTTTTTGAAGGTGGTAGGTGACCTAATGTCAACTAACCTGTTTCCATGACAAACGTATCCTTTCATGGGAAGCTTATTTTTTGGTGGTGAGCAAACTAGTGCTCTTAAGTTCCCAACTTGTGCCCACCAGTCAAGTTGTGGCTGTGGTTCTGAGAGCCCCTTGACCAACTTAGATTTTCCCCTACCTAAGCTCACAAGAAAAAGACACAAAGACTATAATACAAAATCCCTGCAAATTTCTGAAAGCCAGAGTTTACAGCCCCTGCAGTCATTGCCATATACTGCCAGTTTCTGTCTGACCCAGTCAGATTCCTGAGGCCTCCCTACAGGAGCAAGTCCTGGTTCTGTCATGACTGCTGCTCTTGCCACCACAAACCCCAAAGGGTCATGTGATCTCTCACAACACAAACGAACCCTGGATTCAAAAGCCAGAAAGATCAGGAGATTCAATGCAAAAAGAACAGAGTCTGACATGACAGGAATTTACAGTGCTCAGGGCTCCATGAGGAAGACAGGGGACCTCAAAAGGGGTTAGTGGCTCCTCTCTTGTATTCCTCAAGAGGTCCCGGAGTCATCAGCAGTGCCCTTCAGGTTTCTTTGTAGGTCACTAGAACTGTCAAAAGACAAAATCACAACAAATTTAGTTTAAAGATTTTAATTGGCTTTGATTTGTGATTCTAGAATCAGGCAACACCTCATTCTGTAAAATAGAATGACTATTCAGATGAGCTGAGCAGAAGAGGGTGGCTTTATAGACAGAAAAGAGCTGAAAAAAAGCAGAAACAGAACAAAAAACGGATTGCTCATTTCAGAGTTATTTTCCTTGTAAAGGTTAAAGCAGAGGGGACTTTCTTATCATGCTGGCTAAAACTGGCTTATTTAGGGATTAGGCTATTATCTCTCCTTATTTCTTGGAAGGTCAGATAAACAATTTAGTTTCTGCTTAGTGGCATGAAACTTCAGCGTGAGTAACTTCATTTTGGTTTGAACTGTTGGGCCTAGTGCAGGAGCTCAGTCCAAACCAGTGGCCTCCTATAAATTTTATTTAACTGGTGAAATTGCAAAATTAAAGTATGTGTGTACTGTGTGCCATAATGAAGTACTAAGGGAACATCTCTATCAAGAAAGAACTGAAAAAGAAGTTTAGTAATTTAGATCAGTATAGCATCTCCATTAAGCTATTGTAGCCTTCTTTTAAAGATGAGTGCAGATTGGTCACTAATCCTGTATCATCTTGCACATTGGAAAAGAAAATGTCTTGTGCTAATCTTACAACAAAGATGAATTCACTTCTTTAATTATATGTTGGTGCCTTGTAATCTGTGCTAATATTCATGTTAGTATTTATAGGCTTTATAAGTCATGCTCCTTTTTGCTCAGTAACTTAATCTTAAAAGAGACACATAAAAAAAAAGTCATAACTTTTCTTAACCAGTCCAACTTTATAAATGTATAACGAAAGATCAAGCAAGACCTTTCTTCCATTCGGGGCAACAAAAACTAATGATTATCCCTAACATTTGTCTTTCATGTATAGTCTATGCTGTGAATTCACTAGTTCCTTTATTTCAAATATCTCTTAGTTCTTGCCTCCTTGAACTGAAACTTTTATTATTTTTATTTCCCACAACATTATAGTATCCATTTAGGGTAACAAACTCAGCATGCCCCAAGCTAAAATTAATAGTTCCACTCCCATTTTCTCCTGACTCACACACACACATGCACACTAACAGAAACTTCGTCTTTGTTTTCCTTCTATCCACGCCAGTCTTCAAAGCCACAACTCTGGAATTATTCAAGACTCTTCTACTTTCTCTTTCCCACAGTCAGGAACTGCCCTCATACCTTAGTTCCAATGTCCTAAATATCTTAAAACTTTTCTTCTCATTCTTCTGTACCTAGTTCAGGTTGTTACTATATCTGACTCAGATCTTTGCAACAGTCTTTTAACTGGTTTCTCTACCATTGTGTCTCACCATTTTAATTTACCCTTTACACCAGATGCAGCTTTCCAAAACCTATGTTCATGTTGCTCCCTTGCTTAAAACGTCTTAAGGCTCCCTATAGAGGAAAAAGGTGTTTTATCATTCAAGTACTATCTTCATGATTCTTTAAAGACTCCCTTTCTTTAATTAACTTCATCCCAAGTAATAGCATTTGTGAAATCGCAAGTGTTATGTGCTATTTGTCATCTTATGTTATATAAATATATATTTTATATATGAAATATAAATATTTTTGATATTTAAAGATATGTGAATCTTCATCTATGTGCCAACCCAAATCATCTTTCATACTGGTCTTTGGAAACATTGACCTAGAAGATGAAATCTAAGACCTGCATTAGGGCCAAAGAGTCTCTGTGGCATGGTGCCTCTTCTGCTTTGCCAACCACATCTTGTCGCTCTTCTTCTCTTTGCCTCTTACATCTGTGAGGTTGAAATCGTAGCAGTTCCCCAAAGTGTCATATGCTTGTTTCATCCCTCTATGCTTTTACTTAAGCAGCCCTCCCATTCTCTCCTATATGACCTTTTTATCCTATGAAATCACTCCATCATTTTGAAGTTTTCCCTGAAAGTCATTATGTATGTATCTGTATCTACTTCTGTTGTATTTTTCACATCCAAGGTTGCTAATTCCTATGAAATCACTCCATCATTTTGAAGTTTTCCCTGAAAGTCATTATGTATGTATCTGTAAATACATCCAAGGTTGCTAACGCTTGAAGACAGGGCCTGAGTCTCCTCTCTTTGTCTTACCTGACCCTTGCATAGAACTAGAGCATATACCAGGGCTTTAAAAAGTTTGTTGGATTTAGGTGGATCCCAGACTTTAAAAGTTAAAATCAGTTAAGAGAGCCTACAGTTGAGGGAGTCATTCTAATTCCTAAAAGTCTTCGATTAGCTGTTTCACTGGTCCAAAAAAAGAATGCTGGAACTGATCGATCCTGGAGTCAGCTATTTCATTTATTTATTTACTTATTTATTTTTAAAGAGGACCGGTACAGGGATCTTAACCCTTGACTTGGTGTTGTCAGCACCACACTCTCCCAAGTGAGCTAACCGGCCATCCGTATATAGGGATCCGAACCCATGGCCTTGGTGTTATCAGCACCACACTCTCCCAAATAAGCCACAGGCTGGCCCTTGGAGTCAGCTTTTTTAGATGAGACCTGTGGATGAGATGAATTCTTAATTCCAAAGCCTATACACACTGTTCTACCTTTCATTTGACATATATTGGTCAATACATATTAATCTGTGATGAATTGTGTTTGTTGGGTTACTTCTAGAATTCATGTATTTTAAAAACTACATGACTGGAGCTAGATTCTAAGGAAATAATCAAAATAGAGAAAAGAATGTAAAAATATATTCCTAGATTACAGTCTTGGACACTCCCACTACCTTTCAGATAAAGGCCAGATCTGATCATGTCCCTCTCCTGTTTAACCCTGCAAATACAATTCAAACCAGTTAGCTAATATTGAGGCTTTGCCTACATTTCTGCAGCCATCCACTCCTCCTCTTGTGCCATAACAATGCCAAACTTCTTTTAGGCTTTAATTGCTTTCTTATCTTCTTTTTTTGGTGGCTGGCCAGTACAGGGATCCCAACCCTTGACTTCAGTGTTGTAACACTACACTCTAACCAACTGAGTTAATTGGCCAGCCCTAGGCTTTTATTTCATCTGTAAAATGAGGATAATAATTACTACCTGCTTCAAGTGGCTGTAATAAGACCCCTCAAAACTATTTTATGCCTCCTTGCTTTTGCACACAGTGTTCCTTTACAATACTCTTTCCAGCTGGCTAATTTCTACTCGCCTAATCAATATTCAAGTCAAAGAACCCCTCCTTGAAACTCCAACCTGAGAGGCATACCTATCCCTTGTTCTCTAGCTTCCTGTGCATTCCCAGCTGGTAGCACTTTTTACCTGAAGGATAATGTCTGTCCTTTATCTGTATCTCCAGTGCCTGGCTCACCTGTGCTTGATTAAGGTTGGAAAAAAAAAATGGAATCAGCAGACCAGGGCTTAAGTCTGGCTCTGCCAGTAACCAGGTGGGTGACACTGGGCAAAATCACTCACCCTCTTTCAATCTCCCATTTCTCCCAAGCAGGCTGGACCAGGTGATCCCTGAAACTCCTTCCATTTTGAAATGACAGGCTTCTGGGAGGAAGAAAAGGAGCAAGATAGTTGTAGACAGTAGGAGAATGTGTTATGAAATAGAATGCATCTCCCATTACTCTTCTTTTTCTTCTTTCTGTCTTTTAGAGATTATTTTCTTCTGAGAAACTCACTCAGAGGGACCATTCTCTCCCCAACCCCAGCTGGAGCAAGGACTTAAGACTCCTCTTTGACCAGTTCATGAAGAAATGTGAAGACAGCTCCTGGAAACGTTTGCCTTCATATAAATGTGAATCTTCTCAAAGGGTTCAAGATTTCAAAACCCATTTTCTTGGTAGGAACAGCCACTTCCCCATCAATAATATTTAAACATCAAATATAAAACTAAGAACAGATTGAAGCACTGGTTACCACTTGAAAAAGAAAGGAGTATAGTGTACAGTTTCTATAGTTCCCAGTTTTTTTGTTGTTGTTTTGTTTTTGTGGCTGGCCAGGTATGGAGATCCGGACCCCTGACCTTGATGTTATAATACTGCACTCTAACCAGCTGAGCTAACTGGCCAGCCCTATTGTCCCCAGTTTTATAGGCCAGAAATCTCAATAAATTTTGCAGAGTGTGGGAAAACATAACGTCTGTTGTCAAGAATCAGACTGCCGCTACCCTGGCACCTTCATCACCATCAGCAGGAGCAAAAAAGAGGCCCCAGAGAGCCTCCACCCTCCCACAACTCATCACCTCTCTGTCCTGAGGCTGTCATCACTAATCTCATTTTGCCCTTTATCCCAATATCCGGCTGTGTTATCCTAAGAAGCTCAGAATGCTCAAATCACCCCTCATCTCTCAGACTGTAAATCCCTCAAGGCATCCCACCCCGCATCCAACACATGGCATATTTCACTTCCTATCCTTCTGGGGTTTTTTGTTTGTTTGTTTTTAATTAGTACCCTTTTTTATTTTTTCAAACAGTTTTAAGTTTATTGAAAAAATGAGCAAAAAGTACAGACAGTTCCCATGTATACTCCCTGCCTCTAATAACCCCTATTATTAACATCTGGCATTACTGTGGTATATTTGTTATAATTTATGAGTAAATATTGATACTTTATTATTATCTAAAGTCCATAGTTTATATTAGCATTTATTCTTTATTTTGCCTTCTATGGATTTTGACAAATGTATGATGACATATATCTATCATAGTACTATAGTATGAATAGTTTCATTGCCCTGAAAATCCCCAGTTCTCCTTCTGTTCACTCCTTCCTCCCTCCGCCCTGAACCCCTGGCAACCACTGATCTTTTTACTGTAATCATAGTTTTGCCTTTTCCAGAATGTCATTTAGTTGGAATCATTCAATATGCAGCCAAATTTCCAGATTGGCTTCTTTAATTCAGTAATATGCATAATTGGTGCATTTATTTTTTCCATAGCACTCATCACCATCTGACATACTTAGTGTTTTATTTACTTAACGGCCTGTCTCTTACCACTAGAGTGGAAGCTCCATAAGGGCAAAGATTTTTGTATGTTTTATTCCCTACTGTGTTTCTGGTGCTTAGAACAGTACCTGGCACACAGTAAGTGTACCTTATAAATGTTTGTAGGAAGAAGGAAAGCAGGGAGGGAGCCTGCTCAAGATGCTCTACTTGTTTTCTTTATCTTTCCCCTTTTTAGTCCCTAGAATGTGGTTCCAGATCCCTCATATAGGAATCAGGGAGAATAGCAAACCCTTTTCTTTCTTGCCCATAGCTTTCTTCATCATCCTTTTTGGATCTGGTGGGAGTAAAAACTACAATCAGGCCAGCTGTTGTGACTTAAAAGGGGCACATCTGAAAAACTGGGAAAACTTCTGTTTGCAAGTCTGCATTGGCTTATCAATTTTGCAGTTACTGAGCTGTTAAATTGCTGTTTGTCAGTCTATCTGAAACCTGTTGATCTGAATCACCTGGACCCTTAGTGTAGAGCTTATCAATTTTGCAGTTACTGAGCTGTTAAATTGCTGTTTGTCAGTCTATCTGAAACCTGACTGTTGATCTGAATCACCTGGACCCTTAGTGTAGAGCCTGAGAATATGTATTTTTAACAACCTTCCAGATTGCTCAGATGCATTTGGTTCTGGAATTTGAGGACCACTAATTTCTGTGACAATGTTAACAATTAACTAGAAATTGAAAATTCTTTAAGCTGGTTTTATCTTCACACTGCAAAAGCCAATCTTATTGAACTCATGTTTGGGTTTTTGGTTTTGGGGTTTTTTTTTTGACAGCTGGCCAGTATGGGGGTCTGAACCCTTGACCTTGTTGTTACCAATACCAAGTTGAACTCATCTTTGTTTTTATCTCCCTTTATTTATTTATTTGTTTTTTTATATTTTATTTTATTTTGTCGATATACAATGTGGTTGATTATTGTGGACCATTACCGAAACTTCCCTCCCTCCTCCCTCTCCCCCCCCCCCCAACAATGTCCTTTCTGTTTGCTTGTTGTATCAACTTCAAGGAATAGCAATTGTTATGTCTTCTCCCCCCCCACCCCCGGTTTTGGCCATTGGGTTTTTGTGTGTGTGTGTGTGTGTGTGTGTGT